ATGTTGCGCCCTCACCCTGGCAATGAGGCGAACTGGGGAAACAAGCAAAGTGAGGCAGATCATCACACTCTAGTTGGGGTTCGTCGCAGCCAATGGCACTGGCTGAAGTCGTTCGGTCGCCGTCAGGCTAGAGTCTTAGTGAAGGGACCACCTAGGCGACGCCGAGACGTCCAGTAATTATTATTATAGACCAGGCTGACGACCAGCTCTTGAAGCTGGGGGACCTTAGCAGCAGAAAAAGGATGCATGTTGCCGAGAACAATCAGGGGCATCGGGCCGACGGTTCAACAACCGAAAAACCCTAACTCACTCATGGATGATTCAAAAGTAAACAACGGAACATAACTAAGTAGTAGTACCAGGATTCTGTACACATGCTGAACACGGGTGATATTCCTACCAAACAAGAATTTCGCCAATGCTATTGCGTATCGCGTTAGCTCTGTAACTCCTGACCGCAACTTGTTCGTGTTCTTCCAGGAGACAGATCCTGTTCTGGTAATAATAATAATAATACCTGCCACTAAATGATTATCGGATGAATTCAGTCGCGATACTCGGAGAGTTTTCCTGCAAGGTCAAACACCGAGTCAGAGCCTTACTGCCTCCGATCGCACCGAATAACTTGCGGGAGGTAACCGACGACGGCCCGACTAAAGACTTGCACGCTAGTTAAACGATCGTGTTAGAGATCTTTGGAGCCCTTGTGCTTCCAATGACCTTCGAGGACTCGTCAGATGGAATAGAGTATCGCATATCGGAGTCGATCACTTCTGTGACCCGTCCCACCTGCCATCTTCATCTTTCTGCGAGAAGTTAACTAGAACAGGCGGTGATGTCTTTCGCATCCCCATCCGGCCTTGCCGTGTCACGGACTGCGCGGAGTTTCGCCGAAGATCATGGGATGTAGTAACTAGATTCTGAAATAATTAATGTGATGATCTGGATGGTCTCTGTTCTTCAGGACAGGGGTGTTCAAGGATTGGGGCGTTGGAAGACGAGAAAGGAACTCGACTAACGGGCTTCAAAGTACCCTAAGAGGAGAGAGACCCTGGTCGCTGACGATCTGTCACGGTAACTGTTCGTATCCAGATACTAAGCCTATCCGAAAAAATAATGTCTTGAGACCGGTGGTTTTCACGACTTGTGGAATGATAGTACCACGGCTGCCAAAATTTCATAACTGAAGAGAATCCGATCGGAAGGCGACACGTTTGCCCATAGATAGATCCCGCGACTCCCTTTGGTTGTCGTCGAATAGAGTATTATTGCCATGTGCTGCAATTGTCGATCTGGGGTTGTTGAAGGCTAAACTGATGCAAGATGGCCGATTGCTTGCGGCTCCGCATAGGTAGAGATGCTGATTCTGCGCCAAGGCCGCACACTGCCATATCCACCAGGATCGGACTCGAACGCAGTCCTCCAGTCCTGTATGAAGTATAGCGGAAACGCTTGTATCAGCTTGCGCGACTTTCTTCAGTCTCTCTTGCTCCTTTTTCTCTCTCAGATGTAGCAGTTATTGATCCTTAGCAAAATTAGCCTGTCCGGTTATATCAGACCGCCATCCCTGCACGCCCATCGGGGAGATCAACCCCCCATTCATTGACGCCCAACGAAATGCCTGAATGATTTGATGGTGGAAAGGGGTAGTTATCTGATTCTTCAGATCGAGTCACTGCGGACACTTCTGGAATGTCCTTCGGCCGGAACGCGGCATCCTGTGCTCTCCTCGGCGGTCAGCCTGTCTGATCATCTCTGATGCTACAGGCCTATGGGACCCGAAATAGGAGACACGACCGAGTTTCCTTTACGGGACTTTCAGAGTAATATTTCCATGTGGCAGTGATTCAATCTGTATGTTGGATGTAGAACCTGGTATTTGATAATTACCGGGTAGCTGTGGCCCTCGAATAAGAAATGATATTGTTCATTGTAACTATATAACCAGTTCACTAGTTAGGTATTAACAATTTATGCAGAATAAAACTCACCTGAATGCTCTATCTATATCCATAACCTCTGATATTTTCTCTCTGCCGTCAGATATAATTCCAATTGGCGCCTTTTCATAGAAAACGATTACCAAAGAAGATAATATTATCACTATATCCTACAGCATGGGTACAAACACTTGAATTGTAATAGATTCGGTTTTTACTTTTGGGTCAAAGGACCGTGCAAGCTCTTTTTACAGAGACTTTACATCAAAATATTCGAATAACAGAACGTATGTATGCTAAAGCTAATAACAGCGAGGAGACAGATTCGTTTCGTACATTCTGCATACGTTCTACATAGGAAGTAGTCATAAGTTGAGAATATAACTTATGTTGTCTTGTGAAGACCAAGTGCCGCTAGGGAAAGTCCTCTTTTCTTCATAGATATATGGGCCCATGGACAATTGCATAGGGTCCGAAGATTCAGCTAAGAGAATATACTGTCTAAAGGAAACTATGCATAGTATTATGAATGTGATAGGGCATGGAATTTGATTATAAACGTCTATTCTGTGGTAAAGGTAGTACAGTATACTTCAGCACAGCTATTCCTATCCGACAACCCTTCCATATAGTATTGGATACTTGCATCCTCACTGAAAGTCTCTATGATTCGAAATTTATAATAGACTAGATGCAATCTCCATGGCAGAGAGATCGCAAAGCGGCCACTTTGACATGTCTTCAGCATCATGATTTCTTGTTTCTCAAGTACAACAACAATGCTCTAAGCGCATGTAGACTGTTCAGTTCGGCTGGTGTATTTGCAGGAGGGTGAACCGATTCACGGTATATGCTAGTAGCTTCCTTGATTGGTTTATTTCTCTCCGTTTAGGAGGCATATGATAAGCATATTTGGAGGTTATATCCGTGATTATAAGCGGCTTGGTTCACTCAGCAATGCAGAGAAGGTATGTATTAGTTACAACGAACAGAATTTACTAGAGATAAGGCCACAATTCTGTGCCTCTGCTGAGCCCACGGTTGTATATTAAGGGACGTAGTTCAGTCTCTTGATTAATATATTTCCATCTGTTACATTGACTCCTGGGTCCCTCTTATCGGTCAATGATGCAGGATGAATATACACGTTGACTGTTTTATTCATATGTTCCTCAGGGGCTAGTTGAGCAAGATGATTCAAGTGTAGTCCACGACAGTAGTCAGACAGTATTTACTGGCTCAAAGTACGTTCCGGTCTATATAAGTTGCTTTAAGCCCTTGGCACTGGGAAAGAACGATTGAAGGAATAGCCCTGATCGGGACATGGGGCATATAGAAGTATCGGCAGGTTACCATAAAACAAGTGAGCTCAATGAACTGTCCAAGAGGCAGCATCCGCGTTCCTGTGCCAGTTTAAGATATCAGGGATCAGGCCATCTTATAGCGTACGGCTCATGAACTATTTAGCGATCGAAAAAAGCTCACCTATAGAGAAACAGTGCTCTCGCTCTAGAGACTTGGGCGTATAGTGTAAGCCAATAATGATTATGTGGCATATAAGGCAGTGCAGTATAAGGTCCTTTGACTTGATGTCCTAGTCTTTTTCCAATGACGCAGCAGTCTAGCTCCTAGAATACATCCTAGAAGCTGGGTCGTGGTAGACGGTCTGAAATTCTTTACTGTTGGTCCTCTACATCGGATTCTCATGTGAATAAATTAAATTGGTTCTTCTCCTGCACGCCATGGCGAGAAAACTACATCCTACGCTGTTCCAAATTGTCGCTCGTCGCGATGAATTATCAAGTACGATCCACATTACTGGCCATAACACCTCCAAACCAGTAGAATCAAGACTTCAATAACCCAATATAGACTCACCGTCATATACAATCCCACCGGACTCCATTGGGTTCGAAACCTGCATGCAACGGTTAATATGTACAGAAGTTCCTGGCGGGGAACAATTTTGTATGGGAGATACGCAAGGTGCTCTTTTTCCCATACAAAGTGGGCCACTTTTTTGAACCCGCCGAAGAATAGTTTCTGTCAACTGTGTAATGATGTTAAAGATTTGTCCAGTTGTTAGTTAGCTTTAGCTTTTCATGTGGATGTTTACATGCTGCGATAGATAATGTCGTCTGTACCCGACCACGGACATCGTCGTTTGGGTGTTTTGTTCTATCTAGTGGCTAGAATGTAGATATCAAAATGCTGCTGGCAATGATCCTACATAGTCTCGAGTCGCATAAGAATAAAAGCCCATAATTACGATAGAAGAAGGCCAGTGTATAGCTAAGCTCGCCTGTAGATCGGCCTAGGTAAGATATTGTTACGAGCTGAAGGAACACACGGAAGGAATACCCGGAGGATCACTGAGCGCGTCACATGATATTCCACAATAGAGAACTTGTAGATATACCAACGGGTATAGGTATAGCAGAATGGTAGAATTGATCAAAGACAGCAAGATATACTAAGGAAAGGCCGAATGTATACGGACGCTCATTCATTTTCTACAGATGCATTTAGTTCTTCACACTTAATCCGATTCAGTTATCTACACTATCTACTACGGGTCAGTAAGACAATACCTGGAAGGATTACGATCAGACCAGGCCTTCTTCTGACTTAGCTATCGCGGTATTCATCAAAGACCCGTTCGTTACACCAACGTAGAAGCCTTACCCAACGGATTGCGGTAAGCAGGTTGTATCGACCACCTGCGACAAGACCTGACGGAGTAGGTCACCGAGGAGGAACACAGGTAACGTTCCGCTTGAGCTTTCCCTAACAACAGCAGATAGGATAGCTAGGAAGGATCCTGATAACACTGACCGTGACCTACCTCTTCAGCAGTGCACCGGCATACCGATAGATAAGAGCTGGTTGCTGGAATCAAGCCTAGTGCAACAAATCCTAGCAGATCTTTTGTCAGACTTTGCTGCCTAGATGCGATATAGGTGCTTTTTTTTGCCAGTCATGCCTATTCGCAGATATACTAGTCTGTTCTATTCAGACTAATGTCCAAGCTACACGCGAGTTTACCAGACAGTACCATACCTAATTGTTTTGAGTACCCTGTCCTCTAGCGCCTTCAGGGAGTAGGTTGTCTTCAATTACATATCAAGTGAGTGGCGTGATCCTCGCCAGACCTAAATTTGGCCTAGTCTAATCCCCAATGTCGAAGTAACAGAATTCACTTGATATGTCATTCTGTGAAAGAGGTATGAACAGGTTTCACCAGGATGGCAGAGGCATCATCATGATATTGTCCATCATGGCCCCCCAGGAAATTTCCTCAATCCACTCCGGTGCTATGCTGGTGCTCATGTCTAAAGGCACTGCGACACTACCCGTATCCATCACGTTAGTATTCGGTTGTGCTCTGCCGGCGTTGGTGCTACCAGTCATCGCGTTGTTCCGGATGTTCGGGCACGCTGCCATCGAGGAAGGATCTCGGTTATGATTGCTATTATTGTCGCTATTACTCGGATCCGGCTGCTGCTCTATCCCGATAGACGGGTCATGACATTTCTCTATGCGATTCATGCGGTGCTCGTAGGCGGCTAGGATGCCCTTCATGAAGAAGGCAAAGTGCCACATGGGGCTGCGATCGCCGTTCGTCGTGACCTCGTCCGTGATCATGGTGACAAACTTCTGGTGCATCGCGCTGGCAATAAGGCGGAACTCGCCTGTGCGAGCTGCGAGCGCGACATCCCACGGCTGTTCCGGACGAATTGTTCCCGGTGCGAAGACGAAGGCATCGCGGTCCTCATTCTTCTCGTGGAAGAAGACGGCCTTGAAGAAGATGATGAGCACGTACCAGATCTTGGAGAAGGCTATAAAAGGCAGATGGAACATCTGCGCCTGCGGCACATCAAGGAAGCTGATGGCGCACGCTTTGGCGACTGTGAGGCAATGCCACAGCATATTGAGGCGTGTCGGCGGCAGGGTCCTCGTTGCCGTCTGAGTGCCCGGGATGGGTCTCTCCCACAGAACATCGTGGAAAGAGACCTCGTGGATCCAGAGATCCAGAAATTGGATCTCACGCCATAAGAAAGCTTCTTGCTCGAGGGTATCTTCTTGGATCGTTTTCTTGCAAGACTCCAATTGTCGCTTAAATAAGTCAACGATGACACAGATGCTACCTTCGCCCATAATCTTACTGCTTCCCAGGTTGTGGTAGCTGAAAGTATCACTGATCTGCGCTGAAAGTATAACGAGTTGTATATAACGTTGGATCCATCGATCACTTGGCCTTTCGTTTGCATCTACGAGCTGTTGAGAACATTGAATCACGTAGTCTTGGTCGCATACACGGTTCTGTTCCCGATACATCTTAGCGACCCTGGACATCAAGTCAGACTGTAGTCGAGAAGACAATAAAGGTCAAGGATGTATACTCTTCCGAGAGCACGAAGATTCCCAGAAATGTTCTGATCTCCTCCGTCGTTCTTTGACCGTATCTCTCAGCGCTTCCCATCTTACCCAACTCTGTCGGGACACCATCGAGATTCTTCTTCAACCTCGCACTATGATTGAGTCCCAACTCATGGACAAGGGTAAGGGCCAGGTTGACTATCAGATACGTCTGATGGTTCTCTGGTGCAAAGAAAAAATGATGATACGCTAAGTGGACCAGGAGGCCTTGCAAAAGGTCCAGGTTCTTTTCATTCCGTATAATGATCCTCGTGGCAATTTGTTGCCGAATCTCTGTTCCGAGTAAACGTTGCAGCGAGGGGTTACTGACGGCGGCGGCAGCCATTATGGAGAGGAAAAGGAAAGGCTTCTTACGACGGAGACACTCGGCCGTTGTGTCAGGGGGTAGAATCACGAATGGGAAATGAATTGTGTAGGAGTACCTAAATGTGTCGAACAGCGCTCTGGCATAGTCCATGGTCAATATGCCGCGGTCAATGATGTCAGTTCCCTCATCGTCGTGAAGCAACGACGGAGCCGGAACAGTTTCGTTCCACGAAGCAACGTTGGTCCCTGGATTCGAAGCAGAACCCGGGACGGAGATGGGTGGAGAGCCAGTATATTGCGGAACGGTTGAAGGGAGATTCCCCAATGAAGTGGTCCTGGCTGTTGAAGATGTTGGGGAGGGAGTGCGTTGCCTTTGGTGGTTGTTGATATGAGACAGTTCGCTGACTAGTTCAGCCAATCGCTCTTCGAGCTTTTCCACGCGTCTGTGTCTATCAGTCACCCGTTGTACTCGCGATTATTATCATCAAAGCGAGCTCACGCGGTATTTCTATGCTTTCGTCGAGTCTCAGAGACGTTCAAATAGACGCAGTGCTTCCGGAGCCGCTGGCATCTTTCACATATATTCGGGCTGGACGGAGTACACTTCACCTTAGCCGCCGTACAGTTTGTACAGGCCCGTCTCTTGGCCCGGACCCCAGAGTGACTCGGATCCATGAAATTGAAGCAACGACACTGAGTTCTGGTAAGTCCGCCTACTGGCTTGCATGAATTAGAATGGTTTGCGACGGCATCCCCGTCGGAGTACAAAGGGGCGAGGTGATATCAATTGACAATGATACGGGAAAACGGCGATCGGAGTTTCCGTTCCCGATCTTGAGGGGCCGGTGGTATAGAACAACAATCTCTTGGCCTCAATTTGAATTATTTTCCATTTTCCATTTTTTATTTTATTTTTATTATTATCGTATTCTAGTTCTGTGCCGTTTTCTCAGGTGTGATTTGGAGTGGCTGGTATCAGAGATAGATGCTTTGGCGTTTAGATAGAGTGGAGGAGTAGATAGGTATGTTAGGTAAATAAAATGTAGATCTAGGTGTTGCTAGGCTGCTCCTAGGGGCGTGTCCCTTGGTAGCCTTTTTATAATATAACGATGTATGTGACGCAATCTATGGTTAGAGACCACGAGAACCATGCTTGAAGTAATAATAATATTATTATTTGTACGGTCAGATCAAAAAGGTTGAAGCCGATCCAGGAACCAGAAGCGGGGGTCGGACTTTCCGACATTCCGATCAATAAACTACCTATTCTTCGCATCTTTCGAGTTTCAGTTCTTCAAGAGGCCTTCAATCAATGCTCCTTACTTTTGTTCCTGTTGAGGCGAGAGGCCATGACAGGCATAAATCGTTGCAGTGAAAGTGAGTACTATAATGAACTTTGAAAGATAAGCCCTGTTATGTATATGTTTGGTAAAAGAGAAACATACCTATATTGACTGGAGAATCAGTTTATTTACTTTGGTTGCCAAAACAGGACGGCAATGCACGTTAATCTTTCGTTCAAATGTCAAGGAGACCGCCAATAACGAGGTACGAGAGTGAATGCTATTGCGTGAGATGACACAGCCAAATCTTATGCTAACATCACTATCACCAGACGAGGAAAGCGAACTGTCAAGAATCCTGTATACAGTGGGCGCAGCGACCATGAGAGGGTAAATAAAAACACCCTCAAGGGAGCGTCAAGGCTTCTGTTCATCTATATCACACTTCTCGGAGCCTGCACTGCAATTGGTCCCTAGTTTATCAAGATGGTAGTCGACTATGACAACGATCTGATTCTTGTGACCTGCGCGAGTGGCAAGCGTATGTACAGTACACATGAAGACAAACGGTCTAACATGAGCTGACGGTGGTTTGTTGTCGCAGAGGCACCTTACCTGCTTCGTCACCTCCAACCAAAATGGAAACGTCTTCGGCTCACCGCGCACTCAGATACCTCCGTCCAGCGCCTTAAGGAGCAATATCCCAAGGCTGAGGTGGTCAAAGCGGACATGAACAACGCGGCCGACGCCTCCAGATCGCTCTCAGGTGTAACCGCAATCTGGCATGTCGGTCCTTCCTTGCATCCCCATGAATCCGAGGTGGGCTATACCATGATCGATGCTGCGGTCGTGGAGTCTCGACGACAAGGGTCGAACTTTCAGCATTTCGTTTACAGTTCGGTCCTCCAGACGCAGTTGCGGAAACTCATGAATCATAATGCTAAGCGCTATGTGGAGGAATATCTAATGGAGCCCGGGCTGAACTTTACGATATTGCAACCAAGTCACTTCGTGGACGGATTCTTCTCCATGTTAATAGATACCAGGAGATCAACCGACCTTCATGACGCCTTTCGATCTCCAAGCCTTTTCGTTCAGCATCTATGAGGACCACGGAGAAGCTGCTGCCAAAGTGTTTGAGGAAAGAGAGAAGCATTATTTCGCCCAGTACCCATTGGTCTCTACTTACCCAACTAACTACAAGTCCGTGGTAGAAGCCGCTAGTCGCGCTCTAGGCAAAGAGATCAGAATCGAGAGAATTTCGTTTGAGCGTGCATGATGGCACAAATCCGTGGCGGTGGGCCGCCCGATGCGAAGGTCCAAGATGCCTTGGAACGACTTCTGTTGTACTACAACCGGCGTGGCCTCCTTGGCAACCCCAATGTGACCGAGTGGCTGCTGGGGAGAAGGCCGACGACCCTCGAGGATTTCATAGAGAGGGCAGTGAAGACCCAGGGGTTAGGTTGATATTGTTGGCACACAGCTAGCCCATGTATAAAATCAAATTCTCTTTCATTAAGGCAGAAGCAATTTATACCTGAAATGCATACTAAGAAATTTCTCCTGGGCCCCGATTCTTTAATCTTTCTAACAGAGAGCTACCATAAAATATTGTACTGGGGCAAACGTCGCCTAGCCGTAAGCATGTGATGAAAAGATTCAAGATTATATAAGGTAACCTGTAGGCGATGGTGTACAAGAGAAATACGAGGTTTCCACTTGGGACATCTAGTCTGTTGTACCCACGGAGAAATGATCACATTATTGAGAAAGGAATGACTTGTTTGCTTCAAAAGAGATAAAATCGGGACGAATTTTTCAAAGAGTTTTTTTTTTCTTGCCTCGACCGAGTGAAAGATAATATCGACATACTCCATCAAGATAGCTAGGTTCTGCACGCACGTAGATGGCCACACAAGCGGAGAAATGGTGAATGCCATGATTGACGCGCAATAAGTTTAATCGGAGTCCTTTCTCATCAAATAGTGAAAGATGCGCCAGAGACCCTCGAAAGCTTCTACACGATCGGTTGCTTCCAGGAGATCGAACCACCGAGTACGGCGAAGGTGAATAACATGCCATGGCTGTTCTGAGTCTGTAGGACCCACAGGTTGCTCGACTTTGCCGGTCGTTAGGGCATCGATGTAGCTACGATGCACTCTGAGGTGCACAATTGAGACGTGATGATTTATGGACGATATCATATAGATCTAAACAGTAAACGGTCAGCCTTGAATGGTCATGGCAAGAAAAGGACCTGGTACGTACGTCATCAAATGGACTATCCTTGGGTTTCCCAATCTGCATATACTTCATTCGCTTATCCCACAGACTCTGCGGAGGTGCAATGATTTTCCATTTTTCACTGGCCGACATCTTGCGCGAACTTCCAGGGCCTGGCCTACGGGACGACGATACGGCGTGATCCAACTTGGAGCGCTTATGAATGTTCCCTTTTCCCGGAGGAGACGTGTCGTCTGAATTCCTGCCATCTCCGGTAACTCCTTCATTGGGCGCTCCACCCCATCTGGGTGTCGTTGTCCACCATTTGCCCTCTCCGGGTCTCACCTCCATCGCATCCTCTCGAGCACGTTCTTGGGCAGTAAGCAGCAAGCCGCCAACTTCCCGGAAAAGATCACATAGTTCCTGCGTACCGTGGCCGGCTGCTTGACCAGGTTCCCGGAACACGGTATCCGGCCGGCATTGAGCTAGGAGCAATGGACCTTCGAGGATTCCCCTTTTGGCTATCTGGCGATCGCTAGGAGCTCTTCCCGCGACGAGGGTCTGACGGACAGGGAAAAGAAGATTCCTCACAGCAAGTCTAGGTGGATTGGTTGGGATGTTCACCTGGCATCCGAAGGGCCACGCGGCCATTTCAATAAAGCCACGAACTGTATCTTCGCGTATATCCTCTGGCATCTCACTTCCAGTACCGATTCGGCGTCCCGTATACATGGTTTCTGTCGACTTCGCGTCCTCATTCGCTTCCTTCCGTAGGGATCCCCGAGTCGCCGACCCGCTGTCTATATCCATTTTGTTCGATTCATCAACATTATCTGACTGCTCGTTGTCCGTCTGCATTCTTTCATCTGCGGAGGCACTATCTGCTGTCAAGGAACGTTCTATATAATTATCAAGGCTAGCATCCCAGTACTGAGCCATCCGGTCCAGAGCAGACCAGAATTTCCTTGATTGCGTCAACTTGACCTTTTGGCGGCCAGGTCTAGGGGGCAAACGCGAGACCTCCCGGAAAGCGTCATCATTATCGAAAAGGAGCTCGTTTCTGACCACATCGAATTTGCCCCTCGTCGGATATGGATAGCCGTTACTTGTACACAATCCGTGGCCTGTTGACGTTTCTGCTGTGGGCTGAGTCGATTCGCCATCCTCCCAAGCTAATGGGGGCAGAGTCGTCAATCGATCTTGTTGGACGATATCCGCCACTGGTACGTCTGAGTGCACTCGCAAATTCAGAGCTCGTAAATGAGCCGCTGAGATATCCTGTGGTTTCCGGACAGCAAGGAGCAACGATTCGAGATCCCTGAATGAAGCTTCCGACGGGGCCTCTGCGACGTCTGGGAGCTCATAAGACGGAAAATCGAGGGGCGTAGGGCGCGGTGGAGGTTTTCGTTCTTTGTCCACGTCAACGCCCACGCTGGGCAAAGCTACATGGCTGTATCAGCATGGGCTCCAATTTACAGTTGCATGGACATAACATTATGGAAGACAGAGAGAGCTTGACGACTCATGTGCCGGCAAATGTGCCTTCATATGGGTCTGACAGTCACTTCCGCCTTTTACATCGAGTTGGCCGTCATACAATCAATGTCGACGACAATTGAAGAACAGAAACATCAATGAATAGTGCTAATCGTAATAATGGAATAACAGGATATTGTAGAGATTGACTCAACGGGAGATACGGGACAAAGCGCCCCAGTCTCGGCAGAATATATCAAACTCAGAGAGACACTTGACGGCGTAGATAGTTTGCACGCAAAGTTATCCTCTTATGATGTGGAGTCTGGTACTAGATGTCTCCCTTCAGGCGATGACATGACGTTGAAATGGCATGCGACCGTCATCTATGCAGGAACCTGGATCCCGCCATGAGGGCAAAAGACATTATAGGGGCAGTTGACCACAGATGACTGCTTACCTAGAGCATTACCCCAACTGAACATGATGGAGGATATAATATATTCTTGGATGTTAAGGCGTGGGGGACACGGTGAGGAACTCCTGACCGACACACATGCTCCACCCCGCACTTTCTGAACCGGTGGGCAGCGCGAGGCACAAGAGAACTAACACGGCTGCGCGCTCAGAAAAAGACGATAGTGAGGTGATTGACCGTGGAGGACCACATTCGCAGAGTCTCGAGGAGAGTTTCGGCCCGTCAACCAGACTCACCACGTTGGACAAGCACACAGGGAAGAAGGACGAGCTCGCGAATGTGTCTTTTTGCTGGCAGTTGTTGACGTTCTTAGCGGGCGTTGGGCAAGTCTTGAGCCACAAATTAGCTGCAGATGGATGGACTGCTTAGGAGATTCGATAGCTATCCAAGCTGTCCGCAACGGTCGACCTGCTTGGCAGGAAACACATCGATCCAGTTCTTTGGGGGGCAGCACCGCCAGTTGGACTTGCTGATATGGGCGATCCGGGCGTCTTGCGCTGCGGCTAAGTCAGTAATTACTTCACTAACTTGCTACTAAGGGCCATCGCGCGGTGGAGACCAACGCTGTACCGCAACAGACCGACAAACAAGAAGCCTACCGCCGACAGGGATTCTGGCGAAATGTTTCTTGGAGATGCATTGTTATTCCCTTTTGCCAGGTCATCCCTGGAGGACCGCTTCATTCCGCTCACATGTTCGTAGGAAGGTCAAAAGACCACCAGGCTTATCTCCAAACATTCATCACTGCTCGATATCAATAATAATAACGATGGAATGAGATGAGAATCATGAGATGAACCGTGGATCTTTACACGGGAAGCATTGACATGAGTCAGCATCCGCATGACCGCGCCTAACCATCCTGGGAGCTCTGTAAATGTATAGGTTTTGGATCTCGGAGCAACAACTCTGAAACCATCTGTCTCCTGAACTGTTCGTCCCTCATTGATATCCACTATGCGGGCCTGTAGACCCTGGGTCGATCGGTCTCACGGCCCGCTGAGCTGTTCATGCGTTCGTATTCCAGCTGCGTGCCCTCATTAATCCGTGGTCGAAGGATGGCAAACGCCCAGCCATCTTCTAACTTCTCTCCAGAATCAGATAATGACTTCAACGAAACGGAGGCTTCCTGGAGCCACAGCTCGATGGACCTCGCCTATCTGTATCTGTCATTCTTCTCACACCCACAGTCGAGGACATCGCCGCTGCTCAGAACGCTTCGAACAAGCTCGATCATGCGCAAGTTGAAATCAGTTTCGGGAGATTGCCTTCCGCTCAAACAGATGATTTCTAATTATGCAGTGGCGCTGATCGAATTGGCCCCCTGTTCTGACCGTTCGTCATTCTCGAAAGGATAAATTAACTACTTTTCGGTCCTTGCTAGTGGCTTGGTTCCGATCCTGCTTCACCATTGCGGTCTGAAACCATACGACTCGCTGATTCCCAAACCGGCTTATGCTGCTTCTAGTAACTCCCTATCAGGAAACTCTGTCTCTGTCAAACGATACTTCTGACAATTTCTTTTGATCTCTTACCTTTTAGTCAGGTCACTAAAATGATTCTATTCTTTTGTAATCAACGACCGTGCTCACACTATCTGCTTAACCGCCTGTTACCCGCTGACTTGTGAACCACACGCCGTTGATGAGCATCTTACCTTGAACCAACTATACTCAGAGGTTCAAGATCTTTGTTTCTGACCGCTACATGTGTATATCCTGATTTCTTTTGTGCTCTCAGCGCCATGTCGAATTCAATAGTTACGTTCAGCGGCCTCAGGTGCACAAAAGTGCGACGTACAGCAGCTCCATCACAGGCAATAGCAACGGCAACATCGACATCTGTTGAAACAACAGCTACAGATCAAGCAACTATCACTTCATCTGCTGGAAGAACGCAAGTCTCCACTGCATCTGATCCAGTACCGCGACCTAGCATCACTTCAACGGCTGCCACGGACGCTGCAGAAACTAAAGGTTAGTTCAGTCCTTGCTGCCAAGCAAAAAAGAAGAAGAAAAATTGCCCGAATGCACGTCCCAAGGATCCGAACCTGATGAAATCAGTGACAAGCAAGGTCCCCGGGGCCCCGCCATCAAGCGGTACCTCTACGACTCCGGCCGGAATATCCGCGAAAGATCCCCCAGCAAGCAATAGTACCGGCCAGAATACTCTTCGTATTGCCATAATTACTTCACTCGGTGCCTTTGTGCTAATAATCCTCGCTCTGCTGGCCTGGAAACTGATACGATGTCGACGAAATCGAATGACAGGTGATGCTACGGATTACTATGCAACGGAGAAACCGCAACTCGACAGGGGGAGGTCCACACAGATATCGAGCCCTGGAGGCTCACCATTCCAGGAAAGTAAACTAGAGAGTACTATACACATCCGAGACTCTTTAGCACAGTTGGAACAGCTACCAAGAGCCGTGGCCAACATCGCTGCGGGCCGGTCCTCGAGAGTGCTGCCGGACCGATCTCAATCTGAGGGTCGCTTCGGCCCCATGGATTCGACTGAGGTTCGAAGCCAATCCTCTGATGCGGCGCTGATACAAGACGACGGTGGTATGGAAAACAGTATAGCAATAATGAAGGACCAGTTTGCTGACCCATCACCACCGGCTGGGCCTGAGAACCGCTTGTTGCAAGTTAGACGCTCGCTCTCTCGTTCAACTTCAAGTCTACACACACTGAGATCAAGCACGAGTCGAGAAAGGAAGAATCGCTCCAATAAAGACGAATCTCACAGTAGGGAGCAAAGCAACAGCAGCAGTATTATCGTCCTTCCCGGACGCGGCAGTTTGAGTCCTAGCGAATGTACCTTTAGCTATCAGCCTACATCTGCTGGCCCTGGACAATGGAGACCAGATCGCGAAAGGACGTCGACGCGAAGTTCAACGACTAGTACACGCAGCGATCCATTTGACTTGGAAGAACCATCTATAACAACATATAAGTTTTTCAGAATCTTTGGAGCCGATACTCAGTTCGATCAGACGTTCAGTAGCAAATCGGATTCTACGATATACTCACCGAGAAACAACGACCGAAACAAATGACCATCATTAATACCATATACCCCATATCGGTGTCGCGCCTGGGGGACTATTTCCAATCAGATGCGTTATGTGTCCAGCGATATGAATGAACAATATTCTTTGCGCGACGGATTATGGACTCTTTTCAACTTCTCACAGTTCTGGACCCAAAAAGGGTCGCCAGCCATCTCTCAGATGCGACATAGTAAGACTTATTGTGCCGTTTACACTTCGACTTAATTTGTGATAATATGGGCTAGCCAATGTTGGGGGAAAGGGAGTTCACTAATGGCTGAGTTCGAAGCTGGGGTTCACCTATTTCGGATTGTTCAATCTCAAGATGGTGCTCGGACTAGCATAGGGATGTACATACGAGTTACGCGGTTTCTTTATAATATACTAGTTTCTAGTGGCATGTGGTAACAGGGAGATAATAATTAGTTGCATGGTCTAAGTAGACAGAGAGCATAGCTGAAACTGATCGAGCTCCCAATTGCAAACAAATATATATTCTTGGGATGAAGGCTCTCAGACAGTTGAACGGTAGTCGGTAGATAGTCTTCTTAGAACTGGATAGATCACACCTTGAACAGCAAATAATATACCTCTCCAGGTTGACTGCTATTGGGAGCTGCGATACGATTGAAGATATAAGCATGTCATTTTGCCTAAACACGAACAATCGCGGTCCAGTATGCTGTGAACGTTACGACATTTAGATTTTAACGAATCTAGGAACATAGGAGCTCCCTTCCGTGGGAGGGAAATGGATGGAAATCCGGTTTCGTTGGATGGGTTGAAACAGGCAATGTAACGAAATCCGAGTTTCATATCACACAAATGGCCAGACAATGTCCGAGTTCTTTCCTTCAAGGAAGAAGAATGGTTCCTTTTTTTGATCCTGACCCAAATTCCCGACTCCGGATATCCATCCCAAGCAGTCAGACCGTCGACCTTGACCTCTGGACTGATATTTCCCAACACGACCTCCGCACCATCAGAAAGCGTGAAAAGAAAATTACTCCTGAGCCTCCTCCTCCTCGACCAGAGCGTTACGCTTGGCGGAGATACGCTCCTGTCGTCGCTCACGGGCGGCACGGGTCTTGGCACGCTTAGCATCCATCTCCTCCTTGAGGACACGCTCACGGGCCTTCTCGGCCTTGGCCTTGTGGATCTACATGGGAAGAATTGTTAGTCTATTTGTTCAAAAAAACCGAGCTCTGTCTGCTATCGATCCAGGGCGTTTCTCATAAGAGGAGATCGGTTGTTCACGGTACAGCCATAAACAGGGTAGATGGAGAATATGGGGAAAAAACTTACGTGCTCGATCAGAGCACGCTTGTGCTTGAAGGTGTTACCCTTGCTCAGGTGGTAGAGCTCGTGGTAGAGGTGCTTGTCGATCTTGCCGGAGGCACGGTACTTGACCAGGAGACGACGAAGAACACGCATGCGGCGCATCCACAGGACTTGGCTGTAAGAACAGACGCATTAGCACAAGTCCCAGGGTAAACGATTGATATCCCACCGATGAAATCGTGATAATCCCCGAATCCATCTTTCCACAGAGTCCAAACGTACCTGGGCATACGGGCATCCTTGGTACCCTTTCTCTTACCGAGACCACGGTGTCTGCCGATACGACGAGCGGCGTTCAGCTCACGGGCACGGGCGCGCGAGTGCATGGTGACCGGCTTGCGGATGATGAGGCCATCGCTGACGAGCTTGCGGATGGTCTGACGGGAGTTGGCATTGGAGATCTCGTTGACCTCGTTGGGGTCAAGCCAGATCTTGCGCTTGCCACAGCCGACCACGGAGGCCGCGAGGCGCTTCTGGGTGCGAAGGTTGACCCTATTCAGAGAAAGAAGACCTGGTCAGTTTTTATGCGAGACGGATGACGAGAGGCGGAGGTGCAAGATCATGGAACGTGGCACAGAGAGCTTCGCAGCGGCTTGGATAGAGAATTTAAAACCCAGCGTCGAAAAACTCCTGCATGAACCATATCTTGACCTGGAAATCGTAGATGGACTCACATCTTGATGTCGGCGTATCGACGGTCGTTGTCGGATGATGTTCTTGTCACTCGTCGACGGGAGTGATTTCAGTGAGGAGTTTGAGATAGGGTGCTGATTAGCTAAGCGATGTGCTCCTAAGCGAGAAAATCCACATTAGGGTTTGTGCCCCCTCTTTTCCGCCCGGCGCTAGGCCCTCTCTTTAAGAGAATCTCGACAAGAACAAATAACAGCGCTTAGTTATGGTAGTGATTATTATTATTGATCACGGTGAAACATCAATTATACGCTCAGTTATCCTAGTCGTTCTAATTACTTGATCCCCTGCGCTCCATGATGAAACAATCTTGCTTGTATACCTATCTTCTGCAATTGTACTGAAAAAATACCCCTCAATGGACCACTCAGCGGGTCTCTGGATCCGCTTACTTAATTGCATCACGTGATGCTACGCTACGTAGGGATCATCTCGTGCGGTAGTCAGGAATAGATTTAGATCATTCAGAAGTGGATGACATGTTAATCTAGACATAGATTCAAGTTACTAATTATAGATGATATACCTGAGCTCGAAATCATCCCGCCCTCGATGGCAATAACATATCATTAACTTCTGCTGGAAGTTACGTTCAGAACTATTCCCAGCCCAGAGAAAAGGGGGAAAAGACGATCTTGAAGGAACAGTATCACGAAATGAGTCACGGGTTAATACGTGGGAAGATATCATGGGATCATATCACATATAATATTTACCGGAATATCTAAATACATTCTTTTGTGGAACTCGTCGACCTGAGAGTCAAGGGGAATCAATCACTCATCACCAAAAGAGTCCTCTCCAAGGTCCACCTTCCCAATACTCCACACTTCCTTCTCATCCTCAAGTTCGTCGTTTGAAAGGCCCAGACCTCCCTGGCCTCCCTCTGCTTCCCTCCGCTCTCTTGCCTGGGTAGCAAGACGCAAGGCAATGCGCTTGAAGTAATCGGACATGCTCCGTTTCGGTCCAGGAGGAAGTTCGGAGCCTGGCCCGGCCATGTATTTTTCAAAGACGGCACCTTCCTGATCCACGACAGAGAATAAGGCCAAGAAAGCAGCCTCTGCTGCGAGCTTGACTGGAATGACGACATCGCGGACACTTGCAAAGATCGGAGGCGCAAGCAGAGGCAAATGAGGCCTGGTAAGCTCCGGGTGTAGACGACTAACTGTACGGATCACCACGAGAGCTAGGCGGCGGGTATCTGACGGGGCACCCGGCTGTATCACGGGGGCCAGCGCTTCAAATATCGCCTTATTTGTCTCAAACGATCTGTTGGCATGTTCCGTAAGGAGATACTTTCCAGCAGCCAGGACGCTATTATCGGATATGAATGTCTATCGGAACGTTAGCGTATATCGCGTCACTAACAGAAACTACCACTTACATCTTTATGAGCTATGCCTTGGCATATGATAGACGGCGTCTCCGCGGGGAAGTTCTCGGGCAGCAACGAAGGCGATTCGACCAATACGGCATTCAATCCAAGGACAGACGCATGGGTGAAATGAGTGGACAGGACACGGTTCCTGAGAACTCCCGTTAGTATGCGTGCATTGTCATCTACCAGAAGGATGGAATCATACTTGATTAGTGGCAAGGCAGCTGTAGTCGGGAGGTTCTTGACGAGCGCACCAAGCAGGCGCGCGTTGGTTATTGCCATGGCATCTGTACACTGTAAGTATTCTATATGAGATAGCGTCGCGGGGGTAGTACCTGTTGAATCACTGGTCTCATCGTCAATCAAGGCGAGAACAGCATTTCTTGAGGCCTCGCTCATGCTAGACCCAGCCTTGCCCACCACTTCTTGGAGCGCTTTCATCATCGCATTTCTGACACCGGGATCGGGAGTTTTCGAGCCGGTAATAAGTTCTGTAGATATGGTTAACCCGATGGTCCAAGCAAAATAACAAAGACTATGCTTATGCTGTGTGGACTCACCTGCAACAAGTGGGTCGACTCTGGGAGTCAGAGTAATCAGAATACCAAGTCCCTTGGCGGCTCTGTTACGCAGAGTCTCACTCGACGGATCCGCTAGACCCCTAGCAAACGTTCTCTGCAGTTGCGGCAGGAAAGGCTTGACAGCAAGGGGAATTTTTTCCAGTAATTTGTTGAGGGTGTAGAAGACGGCACCTGTTGAGACCTCGTTAGTGCTATTGGAGCCTTCCAGTCGTAAATGAACTTACACTTGATCTCAACAGAACGTTCGGAGACGACTCTGATGAGCGGACCAGTTATCTGTGTCACGAAAGGCTTCAAGGCATCTGCTGCTGTACGATCGATGATGTCGGCGAAAGCCAGTGCAGCCTGCGTGCGTTGCTCCACGCTGCCGTTCAGAAGACCCTGGAGGAAGATCGGGAAAATTGCGCTGATACCCTTTGGCAGACTGAAGCCAGGCAGGTCCGCTCCTGGAACTCCAACTTGTCGGAGCACTTGGCGTGCAGGAATAACCAAAAGCTCCATCTCTTCCTTGCGCATATGTGAAGTCAACTGTGTCAAGCCAGTCCAAGCAGCCTTAACGACGTCCTTGTCTCTGTCATCGAATGATATAAGCAGAACACGGATCAGATCCTGGTAATATCTAGAGAAGTCGATCCCAGCTTCCTGGAAGAAAGTGGCTAGGCGATTAGCAGCATTGGCGCGTCGACGATGATCATCATGTTTCATGAGAGAAATCATGACGTTCATCGTAACGCTGAGACCATCGAACTCGTCAACGGAAACTAAGACTGTGTCGAATGATTTGGTGAGTTCGCCTTTGAGCTCATCGTCCTTGGTTTCTATGATACCGTCCATCAGAGAGTTCAGGATCGTCGGGAGCCTGCGAGTCATGGCTGGCCCTGCTACTTCTGCCAACGACGCAAGAGCCCTGGCGTTAAAAGCGGAAATTGGTGGAGTGAGCAGTGTCGGGATGAGGTTAGGGAGAATGATATTTGCACGGGTAGTCTCCGTGAGAAGGGTAAGAAGGGCCGACAGAGCTTGTTCGGCATCCTCATCGTTACGCAGAAGCATGAGGAGATGAGGCAGAACCTGATCAACCACCTTCTTGCCCAAACTCTGCTGCAGTGCATCGAATGCTTCAGCTGCAGCCTCACGCACATCTTCACTGTTGTCGACGAGAGCAGTCCGCACAATAGATATGAGGCTCTTGTCGTAATCCTCAAGAGCCTCATCTGATGCAGACGTAATGAGTTCTCGCAAAGCAAGACATATACCTTGCCTGGCGTCAACATCGAGCGACGACTGAAGGCCCTCTTCGAGAGATGGCAGCAAGGTTGCAAGGACGCCTTCACCAGCCTTCTTGATAAGGTCTCCAAGTGCATTGCCAGCAATGACCTTCTGTTCCATGTTGGATGATCCAAGACGGCGAATGATCAGCTGCGTCAAAGTAGGAACCAAATCCTTGAGCGTGCGAGGAGAAGCGACAAGCGCCTTCCAAACAATGATCGCAGCACTTCTGACCAAGCCAGAGGTATCGCAACGACAGATGTACAGAGAGGATAAGACTCTGTTTCGTTTCTCTTCTCCGAGGGCTTCCAGTAGTGACTGTCCTGCCTGTGCTGCTCCTTCTTCCTCTTCTTCTGCATCCTGTCTGTTGGTGACACCGCTAATACTGAATAACAGATCTCCGACCAGCTCGACTGAGCTCAACCTAATACGGTAGCTATCATCTGCCAGACCGCGCTCGAGCTCAGGAAGCAAGAGATCGACAGCCTTGGATGCAAAGTTCTTGACCAACAGGCGACCCGCACGCAGAGCGATTTCTCGAATTGCCTCAATGTCATCTGCCAGACCTGATAGAATTGGCGGAATGATTCTGTTGAGATAAGGAGCAAAGCTGTTACCGAAGCAAGCAGGAAGGAAAATAAAGAGAGACATGAAGCCTTCGCGGACAGACGGCTTCGAGCTGGACACATTTTGCAAGATAGTGGGCAATGTCTCCTCCAGTCTGGTTGTCCCCAGTCCTGCAAGAACTTCAGAAAGAGCCTGTGCAGATCCCAACCTGTCTCCAGCGCCAGTGTCCGACTTGAGAGTCGACATGAGACTCGGAATGAGGTCTGGAAGCGCGTCTTCTCCCAGTTTCTCGATGAGAGAACCAAGAGCCTTGGACGCAGTGGCACGGGTAGTAGGAACGGGGTCGACAACGGCAAGCCGTAGTCCAGCAACCAGGATAGGGAGATGCGATATGAGGTCACGACGCTCCGTGAGATGGGCCAGGCTACCAATGATTTGAGCGGATTTGCGCTTGGTTCCGGATCTATCTCCAAGGCCTCTCTCGAGGATACGAACAACAAGCGCCAACGAAGGAGCGTCGAGATAATGCACGAAGGATACTTTGATCAACGCATCCAAAGCCTCATCGGCATACTTCGTCGGGTCACTGAGTGCCTTCAAAAGCACACCGACCAGACTCTTCACTTCCGGGTTACTGATGACTTCTCCAAAGCGCTGCAGACTTCTGTTTGCCGCATTGCGAACTTCTTTATGGCTGTCGTTAAGAACCTCCGTCAGAGGAGGGATAATGTCCGGAAGACTCGCCGCAAGTTGCTGCGGGTCAAGGTATGCCATGGCACCGAGAAGATCACAAGCGCCTTTCTTACTACGCCATTGTGTTTCATCGAGACCTTCGAGGAGTGTCGGCAGGATTTGCTTCACGCCATAAGAACTGAGGTTCGAGAAGCAAGATTTCGCGGCATCAAGACAGGCATCGCGGACATCGATGTTGGGATCTCCAAAGCTTGCCAGAAGTTGAGGCACAATTTGAATGATGTATGGCTCAAATGTCCTTCCAAGGACCGTAGAAAAGAGCTCATATGCAAGCAACGCGCCCTGCCTTTGGTTTGGGTCTTTCTTGTCCTCAGTGGCTGCTCTGAGGAGAGACATGATCCGATACTCTCGCAATGCCGCAATTCCTCTTCCACGAACTATTCCAGCCAGACCGTACGCAGCACCACGGCGAGAGGCATACTGCTTTGACCGAAGAAGTTGCTCGAGCAACTCTTCGACGTAACTTGAAACAGCATCTCCAGCAAGTCTCACCAGTGGAGGTAGACAGTCCGCCACCGCAGACTGCACGCTCTCAGAGGGTGTCGGAAGAGTAGCCAAGAGCTTCCTGATGACCTTCTCCAGTCGCGGATCCTGCGCCTTCAAATGTCTAGCGAGGGATCCATAAAGGACAACCACAGCCTCGTTGAGCCAGTCCGAGCTCTCGGTTGCTTTATCCGAAGTCTCCAGTGTTGTCTCAAAGAGAGTCATTAGCTCCTCAACCTTCTCCTGACCTCGAAGTGCAATAACGGTTCTCCCACTGTCCGCCATCTGCGCTCTGACCACAGGGTTTTTATCAGCCAAGGGCCCTTTCTCGATGAGGAACTTGAAAAATGACACTATCTGATCGCCTTGGAATCCTTTTGTCATGGCCTTGAAAGCGAGAGCAATGCCGCTCCTAATCTCCCAGTTATCCGAAACTTCCGCCTTCAGCGGCATTCCATACTTATCCTTCGCAGGCGCTTTAGGCTTGATCTCATCTTCGTATCTTGACTGTAGGTCGAACAGGACATTTTCGAACACAGACTGATTCAAGTCAATCGCATGGGCCAGGGCACGAGCCGCAGTCCCTCGTAGCTGTGAATCCTTGGACCCGAGATACTTCATAATTGCAATATATGAATTCTCGTCGACCTCCAGCGCGTTTTCTTCCCATATCCTTTCAGCGAGTTCCGCGTTCTGCTCCACGTGGTCATGGTAGCTCAGCCAAATATGCTCGGAGAAGTCGAGATCGGTAAGGTCAATTTCATCCGCAATGACCTGAAGCAAAGCAGTTCTGACAGATACGCCTGGCAGTATTGTGCCTTGGAGAAGTGTATCCAGTTCCTCCCTGCTGATACTTGGCGATATGGACCGGCAGAAGTCAAACAAAGCATCTTTGATCAGCTTATAATGCTGAGAATACTTCTGCATGGAGGATATAAGGTGTCGCAAGACCTCTGCCCGAGGGAGGCGGGTATCTGAGAATGAGCTGCAGTGGAATGAAACAAACTCCAGGGCCAATAGCACCTGTTCTCCTTCCTCCTCTCCTTTCTTCTCTTCGATTCCGTTATTGCTAAGAACGGTGAGGACTAGCGGCAGCACATAGGCCAGTGATGAAGTGTCAAAGGGTCGTTGCTCTGAGGCAAAGCGCAGCCGGTAAAGGATTCTTGTGACCAGTTCCCCAAGGGGTTCCACCTCCATATCAGAGGGGAGGTAAGTGCTACCTTGAGCTCGGAGGGTGGCAACACCGACAAAAGGTCTGATGTTGCCTAGGCGCGGTGATACTTTTTCTGAACAAGAGAGATACGCTCGCGAGACAACGTCTCCGACGAACAAACCTGCACCTGCACGTGCGAGAGACAGAAGGCAACTGACAGCTTGGTTGATCCACCCATCCGCATCCGTAGGTGTATTTGTCGCAAGGCCTCGGACGATCGTTGCTCCTCTCTCGATTCTTTCAACTTCAGAGCGCACCTCTTCTCGTATTTTCGCCTCCTTAGCGAGCTGTGCATTAACCTTAGACTGCTCTTCTGCAGTAAGCTTTTTCTGCTTCTGGCCCTTCTTCTCAGCAATCTGGGCTCGTAACTCCTCTTCCCACTTAAGGGTGTCATAGTCCTTGACACTCTTGTCGGATAGAGGCTGCTTAGCCTTGGAGTTGAGCACATCTACGAATGTCGTCCCCTCTGGGGTGCGGGCGATTGCAGCATCAGTTGGTGTGAATTTGGATATACGCGCAACATCCAAGTCATCTCGAATCTGATCCACAAGAAGCGGTACCATTTCGTCTGGAGCCACGAATGCTAGGTCTCCGGCGGCACCTCCGACAGCAGCCTTCGCTTGAGACAGCTTTGACCGGACCGGGTTTTCAAGTACGCTAGTCAATTGCTTCATGAACTCATTGGTATGTTCGCGGACCAAATTTCCAGGATCTATACCGACCCGTAGGCACAAGTCGATCCAAGAAAAACCAGGTACAAGTCCTGGGCGGCAAAGAACAATGAGCTGAATGAGCTGGTCTTTCAGTGCAGCCTCACATCCTGCATTTCCCGTCTTCTGCCAATCCGAAAGACGAGGGCAGATTGCTTTTACCCCCAGATGAAGGAAGTTCACGCTGTTTGGTCCTGCCATTACCGCCGCAGATTCCTTTTCGCCGTTGACGCAAGATGCAATCCAACTCCACAAAGCATCAATCACTGCATTCCCAATCACAGCCGGATTCTTCAGGTAAACATCAGACAACACATTAACCGCTTCCTCTCGAGTCTTAGCGGACACTTCGGTGCCGGTTATAGCGTAGAGGAAAGCCTGAGCCCAGGAGTTCTTCGCGGCAGGGTCTGCTTGTATGAAACCTCGCTCCGTTGCAAGAGCAGCAAGGGCCCTTGTCTCCCATGAGAAATCACCCGGAGTCACTAGTTTAGAATAAACCTTGGGGTTGAGTACAAAGGATGGTTTCGGGGCCAGTGTCATGGACTGCTTCACAATGTCTGCCCAGTCCGACGATGCAGCATCTTCCTTGTTCCTGGATCTCCTGCCGGACAGCGCAACAAATGCATATGCTCCTGTTACAGAACCGCTTTGAGCTGCAGGTAAAGGATTGGAGACAGTCTCATTGAAGGTGTCCTTCAGCTTGCCCACAAATTGAGAAATGAGCGACTGGTTCTGAGAATCAAGAAGAACTCCGTCATCGAGATTCCAAAGCAATTCCGCAACATTAAGCTGCCAAAGCTTTTTGAAGGGCACTCGCTTATCTGCAGAACCTTTCACGAGAGCACTTATAACGTCGTCAGAGATAGTGACCTTGGAGCGAATGAGGAACTCAAGGTGTTTGCAGAATGCACCGATCTCTTTTTCCAAGGTCGGCTCGTTCGATTCCCGAGAGAACACGGGAACTAGGCCGCGAACTATCTCCTGGGACAGGTCAATGAAGCATGGAATAGACGAGAGTACTTCAGCATGGACCGCACGCTGATCGGCATTTGTAATCTTCTGAGTCTTCAGTGGGCCGATGATCTCGCTCGTGACCTTGCCCAGCCAACTCTCCGTCTTGCATTTTGAGATAAATGACGCGAAGGACAGAGAAGCACCTTGTCTGATTGCCGGGTTTGTCGACTTGAGGCTTGACAGCAGAGGCTTTAGAAGACGAGAATAGAAAACCTCGGAAAGGTCGATCTCTTCAGAAATTGAAGAGCAGAGCGGCGGGACTAGACCACCTAGTACTACTTCTGGTGACCTCAGAATAGCCTTCTCGAGAGTCGGAAGTACGTCCGACGTCAAGTCTTCATATGTAACGAAAGAGGCAAAAAAGTCAGACAGGCCGCTGGCTATGTGAGCAGGAACCAAAGCCCGAGCACCCAGAATTTCCTTGGCATAGAACGTTAGAACCTTCTTCTTTTGTCCCTCCATAACATTTTTTCTGTCTGGAAGCCGGGCAGAGACACCAGAGACAACTCCAAGGAAAGGTGCATTTTTCTGCGCCCCAGTTGAAGCAGTTGTGAGTCGCGTAACGATCTCCTGTATAGCATCTGGGCCGCGCAGTTCTGATGAGAAGGTCGCCCTAAGAGCACGTCTGGTAACCCTGATAGCGGACTGCCTCACAGCTGCTCTCGGTGTTCCTCCCAGGCAAACCTCCAACAGTCTGGCATCAGCCGATAAGATATCCAGGATCATTGACAGAGGGATGTTCGGGTCATCGCGAAAGAATTGTAGGATAACAGAACACCATTCCACTAGAACGAACGCCGACGAGGGAGCCAACGTTGGCTTGGAGGATTCCTTCAGCAGCCTCTGAATCAGATATTTCAGTTCATCTGCCTTGATGGGAGCCCGCAGGATGGCGCGCAGACATTGCTGGACAGCTTGACGTGATGGACGATCGACATAAAGAGGGTATGTCCGAAATAAGAGCTCTAGAAGAGGAATCTGAAAGGGCTGCGCAAGAACAGCGCCTGTAGAGCTGTCAGTGATCGGGCTGGCTTGAGCATGAGGCGGGGGATTTACCATTCTTATCCCGAAGTTCCTGGAGAGCACGAATTCTCCTGGACGTCGAGCTCGACAGCAGGACGTTGCCCAGGCTCTCCAGGTCCCCGTTCTTCACTTCATTCCATTGTTCGTCGTCCATATTGGGGCATGGGACATGTCGACGTGGACGATCCTCCTGGTCGAGCAGTTTGGCGCGTCCCGCTATTGTGTCATAAAAGTTTTCGACGTTGTGGGGAGAGCTCCGTCACCCGCAGGCTGGGAACATCGCCGCTCCGATGGGTTGATGACTACCCATCTTCCATCTTCTCGCGTCTCATCACGCACGCTTTCGTTCTTTTCAGGTCAGCTCACACTGACTTGCTGTCTTTCACTTTCTCTCGATCTGGTCTTCGTCCTTTCACTAGGGCCTTTGCGGCTGTTGTTCCTGGTGTTGGCTCACTATGCCGCCGAACAAGAAAAAGAAGAAGCCAGCGTCAAACCCCGCGCGAGGCTTTGCAACTGTTTCTGTCCCTTCAAAGATAAAGACCACTGATTCTCCAACTGTCTCCTCCGCCGCAGAATCCACTGCTGCATCGGATGTTGAGAAATCTCAGCCAGTCCCAGTGAGCGAGCCTGCTGCTGCTGCTGCTACCGCCGCGCCGGAGGGCCAGGCGCTAAAAGACTACAGCCCTGAGGATCTTGAGAAACACCTTGAAGAGGCAGAGTTACAATTACTAGTTGATAAATACGCGTCTAAATGTAAAAGCGATTCCGCCCGTCAGGTGGCTAAACTTGAGACGGAGCGACGTGTCCTTCGCCCTCAAGCGAATACATTGAGCCTGACAGATTGGTTGTCTCCAGAAATATTGGATCAGCTACTTAATCTAGCTCAAAAAGAGCAGCATGAGACCGATCCTCCTCCCGCATACGATTCCAATGAATCAAAGGGTCCTACTTCAGAAGAGGACCTATGTGTTAGAGTCTGGACATTGAGAGAGACATTGCTTAAGCTTGGATTTCCGGAACCAAAGATACAAGAGGCATTGAAGCATATCTTGGTATACTTTTCCGGGAACCCTACAAGTAATAGTAAAGATGTCATTTGGAATCTGGAAGAGTCTTTGGAATGGCTTGCCATGAATTGTGACCCCAATGAACTTCCACCCTATCTGGACAAGGCCCCGGCACCCAAGGGGTCAGACATGAAATCGTCATGGTTGAACGGTAAATGATCTTGGAAGCCATTGCACATATGATGAAGCTAATCCTGGCCAGAAATCGAGCAGCCACGTTCGTCTACTCCATCCATTGCCTCGCAGACTGACGCAGCAGTAAAGAAGCCGAAAAGCCAGCCCACAGTGGCGAGCGTGCCCGATTTCGACCTTGATGATTCTGATGGTTCTCTTGACCCAGATAATCTTACTCCAGAATTTCTAAACCTCCGCACTCAGCTATACAATCTTCAGCCCGATCACTTTGACCAACCGAAGAAGGGCAAGAAAGGACAGAAAGGATCTGAGCGCGATTCCGATCCTCAAGTCGCCAAAATCAAATACAAGTTATCGAAGATTGAAAATGACATTCTCTTTGATCAAGCGGAAGCGGAAGATCGATGGAAGGACATACTAGTCAACCTTAGGAGAGAGGCAGCATTTGTCCGAAAGACTGCTGAACCACGGCCTGAAGACTCGGCCGCGCAGCGCATAACGGACGAAGCAGAGAAAATAGCGGAGGAAGAACTAGCTGCTATGAACTCACCTCAAGCCGAAGACGAGAGCCTAGGCCTCTTCGGTGATATGTTTTCCGCCGAAGGATCAACCACAGAGCTGACAGCTCAGGCTGGGCCTGCTCCCGCTAATATCCAGGTCCGTAATTTCGGGAAATGGACTGGGTTAAGTCCTCGACGTGTGTTCGAAGATGCTTGTAAGGCAAGGTCAGTCGTTTCTATCCGCTTCTCTGGTAGATATTCTGACGTGGTTTCGGAACGTTTAGAGACGCGAATTGCAAAGTAACATACAAGGATATTTCACTATCGTCGTATTCTAATCGAAAAGCTGTGGAGGTGAAATGGTCGAAACCGCAGGACACGCCATTGCCTCTCACTTTGGATGTGGTGACACTCAAATCAAATCCTTATGTCGTGTTTGCTTCAATGGACACGATTGCCACCCAAACGTCTCAGGAGGCAGAAGGATACGTCTCGACTTTGGCGCTTTTCCTTATATTCGGGCAGAGTTCGAAGGAATCAAAAGCCTATTTGCGTCTCCCAGCGGTCTGGAGAGACCTATGGGGAGAATTCGCGAGTCTAAGGAAGGAACAGGAGGATGAGTCCGATAAGAAGACTGTCCGGGGACTGAAATATCTCATTCAGGAATGCACAGGGAAGTCTGAACATGATGTTGTTCTAACACACAACTTCAGAAAGAGAAACGGAAACGGAGGCGAGGTAGAGCCTTCTACGAAACAACGCCCTTCTGGTAATGTCGGGCCGTCAGATGAATTGGCAAGCATATGGAGAGCCAAGGCTTCAACTCCCGCGTTCAACCGTATGGTCCAGTCAAGGATGAATCTACCGATATGGGCGTACAAGGACGAGATTCTCAAGACACTCGACTCTCACCAGGCGATCATTATATGCAGTGAGACGGGTAGTGGAAAGAGCACGCAAATACCTTCCTTTATCCTTGAACACGAGTTGATAGAAGGTCGCAATTGCAAGATATATGTCACGGAGCCTCGCCGAATCTCCGCGATATCGTTGGCGCGGAGAGTCAGTGAAGAGTTGGGAGAAAATAAAAACGACATTGGGACGTCAAGGTCTCTCGTGGGATATGCAATTAGACTGGAAAGCAAGCTCACTCAATCCACGAAGCTGGTATACGCGTATGTCACTAGCCCTTATTCTAACATCATCGGCTGTGATAACTGACACAAACTAGAACAACGGGAGTAGTAGTACGGATGCTAGAGCGCCCTCAGGACTTTCAAGATATCTCGCATGTTGTACTGGATGAGGTACACGAGCGGACCATCGATAGCGACTTCCTGCTGATAATCCTGCGGAGATTGATGCAACAAAGACCAGATCTAAAGCTCGTTTTGATGTCAGCTACGGTCGACGCCCAACGTTTCTCGTCCTATTTAGGTGGCGTCCCTGTGTTGAATATCCCCGGGCGGACCTTCCCTGTGGAAGTCAAATATCTCGAAGATGCTGTTGAAATGACCAATTATCGTCTTCTGGATGACCAGTCCTCTGCGCTCGACGATGATGTCGCAGAACCTTCTCCGGACAGCCCTGGCGAAGAGGGGGCCGGGGGTCTTGGGTCGACGCTGGAAGGCTATTCAAAACAAACCAGAGACACAGTCACTAACTTCGACGAGTATCGACTAGACTACCATCTGATCACGAGATTGTTGGCGAAGATTGCCACCGATCCTAATTTGGAATGGTACAGTAAAGCCATTCTAGTGTTTATGCCTGGTATGGCGGAGATCCGCCGGCTTAATGATGAGATCTTGTCAGACCCGGCTTTTGGGAGAGGCTGGATAGTCCATGCTCTTCACTCGTCTATTCCCAGCGAAGATCAGGAGAAAGCTTTCCTTGTGCCCCCGGAGGGAACAAGAAAAATCGTTATCGCAACCAATATTGCGGAAACCGGTGGGTGATCTCCAAACTAGTTGCTTCTGCTTTGCTAATCTGATTAGGTATCACAATTCCCGATATCACTGCCGTTATTGATGCCGGAAAGGAGAAAGTGATGCGGTTAGTGTTAATTCGTGGTACTTACTGGCCAAAGCTAAGAACTTGTATAGATTCGACGAGAGACGACAGCTTTCGCGACTTGTGGAATCGTTTATCTCACGCGCAAATGCAAAACAACGTCGTGGAAGAGCTGGGCGAGTTCAGACTGGAATATGTTTCCATTTATTTACGAAACATAGACATGATAGCCTGGTAAGTCCAGGTTTGACTTGGAACTGGACTGCAATCGCTAACACGATAAACAGCTCGCGGAACAGCAGACCCCCGAGATGCTTAGGCTTTCCCTACAAGATTTGGTCTTACGCGTCAAGATCTGCAACTTGGGCGACGTTGAGCAGACTCTTCTTGAGGCTCTTGATCCGCCATCATCAAAGAATATCAGACGGGCAATCGACTCTTTGAAAGAAGTGAAGGCTCTGACGAATTCAGAAACTCTTACGCCGCTCGGAAGACAGCTCGCAAAACTTCCGCTGGATGTCTTCCTAGGGAAGCTCATCATCTACGGCGCTTTCTTCAAGTGCCTAGATGCCTCTGTGAGCATTGCGGCTATCTTGTCTTCCAAGTCACCTTTTGTCAATACAATGGGCTCCAACACTCAGAAAGAACTTGCTAGGTTGTCTTTCAAGAAAGGTAAAATACCTAATATGTTTATAGGCGAGTTTACTAAATGCATATCCCAGGAGACTCGGATCTTCTCACCGTGTACAATGCTTACTGCGCATGGAAGCGGATAAGGAACTCACCGGGAATAAACGAATACTCCTTTTGCCGGAGTAATTTCCTCAGTCCTCAGGCGCTTCTCAGTATCGAAGATATCAAGATGCAGCTTCTGGTCTCCATTGCAGATACAGGCTTGATGAAGCTCGACGATACGGAACAGGCTTCTTTAAAGAGGTGAGCATCCCCTCGGTTTGCCTTTACCCTGCTCTTCCAACTAATGCATCTGGGAAAGGGCCCGTTTCTCTGGCCGCCAGCGTCAATTCTTTGTAGTCCCTGAGCGGTTCGACGTAAATAGCGCTAGTGATCTAGTTGTCACCTCGGTCATTGCGTGGAGTTTCTATCCCAAGTTGCTCTCCCGCGAAGGCAAAGGCTGGCGCAATGTCTCCAACAACCAGGCCGTGAGCCTCCATCCAACATCCGTCAACAAGCAAGCAGATGCTAGTATCAAGTGGCTATCGTTTTACCACATCATGCAGGCGCGCAACAAGTTCTACAACGCCCATGAGACAAGCGCTGTGGACGACTTTGCCGTTGCTTTGCTGTGTGGAGAAGCGGAGTTCAAGGTATTAAACTCCGCATGACATTGATCTGAAGATGAAACCCTTTGCTAACTTCAAATTTAGTTATATGCCGGAATAATATCCATCGACAACAACCGTATCCGATTTTCCGTCAAGGACTGGAAATCCATTCTAGCTCTCAAAATCCTCGGCAGTAAAGTGCGGGAGATCCTGTCTGGAACATTCAAGAACCCCCAGAAACCGCTCTCCCATCGCCAGCAAGAATGGATGAATATCTTACAGCAGATGTTCACCGATGCATACACTTCGCAGATAAACAGGAAGGGTCCTTGAGAGCAGGCATTTGGGTAGGCAAGATTTACGGAACGGGGGTACTTTTCTTTGGACGGTTGACGATATCCAAACTGGGTTACGGATGATTGGGACTTGGGTATGGTATTGCAGCAGGGCTGACAAGAATGGGAAGTTTTTCGCTCTTTGCTTTAGCCATGAAGAGCTTTAAAAAAAAAAATAGAACCTCGCTTCCCTTTTTTTCGGAATATATCAGGCTACATCAAGCGGTCATTGAACTGTACATATCTCGCTTGCTATCGAGAATTGGGCTTCTATTTCGCACCGCGCCTATCTTCGTGGATGGAACATAGAGGGAGAAAAAAAAAAGAATCCAAATGCTTGATAATACCTGGAATTGGATCTATCTTTGAAAAAAGCGATTATATGACCGTAATGGAACCTAGTATGATTCGGCCTGTTTACGTATATATATCACTGGGAAACGATGACTCTAAAAATATAGAAATATGCTATTTCTAACTACACCTCTGCAAAACATTGAATCCATCGTCTAATTAATGCATCTAAAAGGAACAAGTATCTATTGTATCGGGGGCATGGTACAAAATCGGTCTAATGTCCCATTACCTGAAAAAGAAAACCTAGTTCATCGGGTCACCTACACTAACCACCACATAGCTTCCTAACACAATATGACACACACATACACAAACACCAACACCAACAATGAAGAATACACGATAACCAACCCTCGTTAATTTGAGTACTGGTACATGCCATTCAGTCCTATTATTCACTATACTTCTCCATTCTTTCCCATCAGGATCGAATCATCAATCATCTTTCGATCTACTACTTATGGTAGACATGAAGATCACCACATCATCACCGATCCTCCTGCGTACTCACTCTATCGTACATAGTACGTAGTACATACATAACCTAAAACATGCACACGTTTGGTATAACGAAACCCCATATCACATTCCTCTCTGCCTCCTTAATCCCACTCTAGTAAGTAAGTAAGTACTATTCTATTTATTCTGAAATTCACACCACGCCAGCCACGCGGAAGTCGTTACATATGCATAGTTGTATGCAAGGGGCATAAGCATTATTTTCGGTTCTGGGGCAGAGATGTCTTACTAACTAACTAACTAGTAACTACATATGGGGCTAACTAAGAGCTGACGGGCTGGATACGAAAGAAAGAAAAGAAAAGAAAAGAAAAGAAAAGAATCTTCTAGTTTAGTCTTTTCGTGTAATTATACAACGCGAAGAATATCTAAGTGGAAAAAGGGAATGGGGGGCAGGGAAGGGAAGGGAAGGAAGCCAGGAGGATCTTCATGTGGAGATTGAGAAGTAGAGAAAAAGATACGGAATTGAGATGATTTGACCTCTTATGTTGTTTTATCCTATTATTTCATCGTTGAATCCTATCCCGAATTGTCCCATACTAAATACGTATACGTACCTTTTTTTTCTCTCTCTGAGTTCTAGAACCGGGAAGGAATGGCCCGGAAGGGATGGATGGATGGCTGGATCGATTGAGGGATGGATTGACAGCTAATTATTTGTTTCTTGGGTCTTGGATAATAGTTAATTTCATTATTCAGCTTCGTAATCGATTGAATGACAGGTCTTGAAAGGACCATGTTGCTAAGGTGCGTACTAGTACTAATAAATACATATGGTTTGAAGGGAAGTGAATGTACTACAGACATTATTTATTACAGTGGATTATAAGATCACAGAAATAAGAAAAATACAAAAGGAAGCCACTGTGGGGTGGTCGGGGAAAGGAGAGGGTCCGAAGAAAGAGAAAAAGCCACGCTATTATGGATCCCCGGTTATACGAGTTATGGAGAAATCAATTAATCAATTAGTTACTATCCATAATATAATGTTAATCATATAGTATATACCAACCGAGTAACGATATTAAAATAGAATTGAGACTTAGCGGCAACTATTAAACTTTCCTGTAGGCCTAGAAAAGAGAAAAAGGGCGTTTGCAAGAGTAAATCGATAATTATGTCAGTGGCTGGGACTCGTAACTATCCTTCAATCGCTCAATCGCCAAGGACTGAAACAGAAGCCACTCATGCAACTTTGATTATCGGCCGCACCGATAAAATTCGAGGGCGTATCAGAATCAAACTGGGGGAAGTTCCGGTGCCACTTCCGCGAAGTTAAGAGAGTATGAACTGCAGCCGGTAAAGGAATATATGGTTAAGTTAGGGCTGTCAAGCGCGTCCCACTATTAGAAGTACATAGTCAAGGATAGGCTAACTAGTTCTTTCTTTGCTGACCGTTTTATTCTCTTGGGAATAATGTCTTGGGATATTTCTTGCTACCCGTTAAACTGAGTTCTTTTCCCATGCGTGTCCGTGAGAACGACAGGCGTGTGGAGGATGCAAATTATCGATTAATACCCACGTGAAGAAGAAAAGTGAGATGTGTCAGGTTTCAGACCCGGTCAGTGAAGGAGTGGTAATAGATGGGCAAATTGTGCTTCTAGGCTGTCGAACTTCTGACGCAAGGAATAACTATCATTCGCACGTCCCAATGGAGTCTGGACGGACGGCGTCCCCGATGACTGCATACGGGTATGGAGTAGTCTCCGAGCTTGACGTTTAGCCCTATCCAAGCGGTCTTAGCAAACTACTCTCAAGTCCTGCACTGAAGATCGCGTGGGTCTCCCGCACAAAGAGATTTGAGGTCCGTTCGGTCCCCGTCGTTTCGATCCTTACCGGTCGATCAAGGATAGCGAGCAACGGTCACACAGTGAACTGCCACCGCCAAAAGAAGGCCCGAGCACTATCTAGTTGTGACAACCCAGCAGATCCCTCAGAGAGAGAGCGCTTGGATCCTTTCTTTGCAAGATACCAGAAAAACCGGGATTTGAGAGGGAGTCTTGTGGATAATCGATACGGAATCTCCGTACGGAGAAAAGAAAAAAGGGCTAGAAGAGAGCGGTCTCACTGGTTAACAATAGAGTAGTGACTGGCAAAGCTCTCGAAGAATTTAAAAAAAGATGGAGACTCGTGGCGCGGATCGGTCGCATATGCAACCACGGGTCGTTGCAGCTGAAACCTGGCCCGGTGCTCAGCTGAGATTCTGACAGGATCCCTGAGAGAACAGAAGGCTGTTTTCGACTTCTTCCTCAAGGTTCAACCCTCCTCCGCGACGCAGGGAAGCAAGGGGAGAGAGTAGTGAGGGGTGGGGGCCGCTTGGTGATACTGGCGGTCAGATGGCAAACGCGGGATAGTCTCTTGAAGATGGAGCTTTGGCAGATCCGTGTGGTCCAGCACAAGGCGCCGTCGTGAACCGACACCACATCGGGGCAGCCACCTGGTCGCTGGTCAGGAAGTTAGTCGGTCAACGACATCGCCGGTGTGTCAGATACGTGGTCGCTTCCGCAGCCAGTCGATGGCGCCGGGAGTTGTATATCGCTGCTCTCATGTATCCTGACTGGCCCTCTTGGCCCATGGGGATCTCTCTCGTGGATAAACACGGCAGTCTCGCCACCAGGAAGGAAGAAAGATAGAGAGAAGAGGAGGGGAGCGATCATTTTGCGGTCACTCAATCCTTGTCGGCCGTGCCGAGGATATCAAATCACAAAGTGTCACCCGTGACTCTGTCGCACAACCGCTCGCAACAGAGTCATCGTTTCCTTTCTTCCAATGCGAGCGAAACACGACATCTTATCTAACTTTGGAATCGCCAATCAAGCAATAACGGTGGAGCTATAGACTTTTTCCAGGTTCCCAAGGATGTCCTGATATGAGAAGCACGGAATATCTGAGCGATGATCAAGCACTGGCTCGGTTCGAATACCATTGCTGAATGAATTTCCCCGAGTAATGCTATCGCCAGCTGCACAATGGTTTTATACTGCGATGCTCTCTCAGGCAAGTCAATGGACCATGTCGATATTACTAGGATTTAGCTACGAGGTCAAAACGGAGCTCCATGACTGGTCGTCGCTGATTTTCTGTGTTCGTGAATGTCATGAACCGGACCGAGTGTGGAGATCATGCAGTGTAATACTCGAGGAGAATACGAACATGATTACGGAGTATTACTCAAATGAAAGTTCCGTGAGACCCAGGCTATTTCGGGCGCTTCTCAGGGCCTTGATGTCCATTCTCGAAGGAGGGCGTGTCTGTTGATTTCGTAGAACCCAGGATCTGTAGGGGCCGGGTTAATGCGTTAGGGCGCCTTTGGCTCACTCCGGGGTGTTAGTTATGTAGGCGGGGAATTTCAAGGACTTAGAAGACCTGTTCTACCCCTCGATGTGTTACAATGTGCGCTCATTATCATCAAGCAGCGAGATTGTCCCACACTAGTCCCCCACAATAAATATCACAGCACCTGGCAGTTATTGCAGTCTGCTGATATTGTGTTTTTCTTCCAGAAGGTTAAACGTATGGGATCGATGTACGGTAGATCTCGCGTGCGCGCACCACTGCGGACGCAATGTGAGTTTAATTCTGTTGCATTGGCAGCTGTGCGCCGGTGTGGCCCTTGCAGTAGACTGAGCGCGGCAGCGCCGGTGGCCAAAGTCTCAACAGCGAACAGTCTGCGACGATGCCACGAGCTTAGCAAAATAAAGCTATGTATGCATGGGAGTTTGACCCTGGTGGCAAATGCAGAGAATACTCCTCGAGCGAGACTTATTACTCTGATTAAAATTTCGCCTTTGCCGCCCGAGTGGGGGAGGTAGATAAAGATAGTTCCAAGTGAGATGCTCGACTGAAGCTTTGGAGGCAGTGAGTCGTCCATAACGAGATGGTGATGTTGCACTAATCTCCAAGGGATGCCCTATCAGATCCGTCGACGACAACTCCCGCGGCTTGCATTTCTATTGGCTTTTCCGCAAGAGTAGAGGTAAGAGGGCGTTGAACGAGATTGTTTCGCGCGCCAGAACAGCGATTTTAATCTCCGATCTAATATCGCTTGGGTTCGCATTCCGCATGCCATTCATTAGTGTGTGATGTCCGACAATCGGACCCTATGGTCAAGGGAGATGAGCTTCCATTCGCTGAGGGTTGCCGGCGTACTTCGATCTGTCGTGTTAAGAGATGATAGGCATCTGTTCCATGACTAATATGGCGCATTAGTTATCCAATTCTCGTCGGAAAAAGGGCAAGGGGGAAAGCATCATGCTCAATAATCAAAAGGCCCATATTTTGAATGAGAATAGTAATATAGCATTGTGATTATTTGGCAAGTAACGCGTCGCGGTCGATAGCTTCGAACTTGAAAGCGAAGCGCACATGTCAGCATTGCGGATGGGCTATATGATTTCAAGGGTCACTATAGAGTCTAACTAAGTATAACAATAATAGTTAATAGTAATACCATAGTGATTATTACCCCGGATGCTAAAGTAGCCATCACTCACGAGTAAGGGTGCACTGATGCAGCAGCTCGGTGGTTGTCGAGATCAACTAGTTATTGAGTTAGGGCACTCGGGAAGCGATCC